GAAAGAAAAAGGGAAGTTATCTGCAAACAAGTATTAAGAAACTTATCTAACCTTAATTGAATTCCCAACAAGATTTGTAATTATCTGCCGAAGGCGTCCAGGGTCCCCGATGACAACCTCAGGTACCATATTGGAGACATACACAGCCAACTTTTCTCACCCCAAACAAAACCCAAAACCACAAGAGCTGGTATCAGCAACCACAGAAGAAGAAATCAACTAAGAAGGTTATAATTAGTTTTATTTTACCTCAATCCCTTTCTCATTAGATTTCCCAGACAAAAGTGATAGAACATTATCAAGCACTGAACGCAAATCAAAAGGTACGGTTTCAAGTTCCAGCCTGCCTGATTCGATTTTGGCCTGATCAAGAACCTCATTTATCAGTGATATCAGCTCTCTCCCACTAGCATGAGCAGTCTCAGCATAATCCTGTTGGTTCGGTTTTAGATCAGTGTCCATCAGCATTTGGAGCATACCTGGATTTTGATTGAAATTATTATCAGATTATGCAATCTTCAAAGTTTTGCACAATACTAACTGTTTCACTAAAGAACTTCCCAATTACCTAAAACACCATTCATTGGTGTCCTGATCTCATGGGAAACAGTTGCAAGGAACTGCAAAAGAGAGAGATGTTCAGCCACAGGATGATACAGAAACATCGTGTAATATACAAATAAGTGAACAATTGGACAAATTTCTTTTTTCTTTGGGGAGAGGGGACTAAGACTAAATATTTATGAGAAAATCTTCCAGGCATAGGAAATTCTTATTGCTAATAAACAAAATGTACCTGAGATTTGGCCACATCTGCAGCTTCTGCACGAACTTTGAGTTCCATCATCTCACAATAGTCTGCCTCCACTTTTGCTATTCGGCTTATGGCCGCATGAAAAATATGACCAACTAGCAAGGTAATGACTAGGACTCCCATTGATGCACTTACTGCTGTCAAAGGAAACGGACGTTTTTGCTTAAACCTGCAACCAAAAGAGAACTGTATTGGATTGGAGAAAAAAAATCGCAATTCCACATATTTGGGCTGATATAAATAATTGATGTATGAGATCTAACCTGCAGTGCATTTCATGCTTGCGTTGTGGATCACCAAAATCAAGATTGCTAATGTGCAACAGGCCAGTATCAATAACATCAGTACCATACATGTTGACCGGAGCAGATGCATTAGTTGTATCATAAACATTCACAACAATTGTTTGCTTGCTGGCAAGTTGGTGCAGAAGCTTCTCCACCAGTGAAGGTACATCATAAGATGCACCTAGATACCTATTTATGAAAGCCCCATATAAAAACCAACTTCAACTTCTAGATACTAACACAAAATAATTCAAAAACACAAATCACGGCCATAAGAAATCAAGAAAAATCCATGGTTACAAATTTACCCCACAGTAGCTTGACTACGATGCTCTGATGTGGCATCTGGAGGCAAATCAGTATCATAGACAGCGAAAGTGAGTACAACTCCGAGGTGATTGGATTTCAATAGCTTAAAGGGGGAAGTCAGTACTCCCTTTGCAGTTGCCCTTGCTCGCAAGATGTTCTCACGGTCTTCCTGCATTGTATAATTAGTAACATTTCATATTACATTATCAGAAAAGTTATTGGATATCAGAATATGCTTCTGCAAGAACAGCTTGTAGATGTAAATCTTGCCAAAGAAAACACAATCTTGGCATCTGCTGATACCATATAGTCGGATCTCAACTGGTACATACACTTCTCAATCACGAAGGCTGACTACAATTCAAGAATAACTGACCAGTATTAAGTAGGCCCACAAAAACCAAACAGTCTCGAGCATGCAAACAGGTGCATAAGAATGTCTTTTCAAAACCATATAACAATGCCAAAGTAACAGAATCAAAACATCATTGACCTTGGCACTTGGACACCCTAGTGACATCAATTATCACCATTGTCTTTAAATTTATCCAGAACACACCTAGTCATAACAAATAACAAATAACAAGTGTCTTTAAATTTATCTCTGCCTTCTTGTAGGTCTCATTCGCATGAAGGATAGCAATGCTTAGTCTGAGGCATGTGGTACAGTTGAAGTGGCTAAGAAATAAAAAGTTAAAACAAAAGCAGAGAGAGAGAGAGAGAGAGAGTAATATGGAAGTCCAAAGCTAAAAAAGCAAACCTTTCCTGACATCATGTCAATAGAGACAATATGGGAGACAGTTTCTTGAGAAAATATCACAGGTGCATATTCATCTTGAATGGGGGCAGGGGCCAAGCTTTCTGGAAGAAAATCTTGGACTAGAGTCTGGTCCTCAGTTTCCATTTTTTTTATTGCCCATCCATGTTCCTTCTCAAATTGTTCCCTCTCAGCATGAGTAACTTTTAAAGCATAAGCAACACCACTAGTAAGGGGTCTCTCAAAAGCTGTTCTCTCTGTGTATTCACCAAATGTTTTCTGTGGAAAGAATAATGTACAAGGTTAAACACTGCTTCACAACCGCATAGCATTGCATAAGAGTAAAGTTACTCATTATATTTTCCTTTCCTTGTTCAATAAAATATAAATTATTGAATTGCATCCTCAGAGTGCCTACTAAGCTGGGCATATCTAAGGGGATAAATAACTAACCTAAGTTAGATATGAAAAATTACCTGATCAATTGCTGAGGGATGTTTCCCATGGTGAAAGGTGGAGACAAGAATAGCCAAAGCATGAACATGATTCAAGCTCACATTAAACTGATCCTGCAACATCCGTGCTCGTTCATCACACATGTTGGCAAGTGTTTCTTCTCTCCACAAAAAATCTCTTTCATTCAAGTGCCAAAATAACCAAAATGACGTAATGACTCCAAATACGAAAAATACTATTAGTAGATTCTTCCTCCACTTTCCAGCAACCTTAGGAGGACTTTGGGCTTGCTGTTGCTGTTTCTCTGGCTGCACCCTCCGAGCCAATGGCTGCTCTTGAACCATTTTCAGTTGCCAAGTAAATGGCCACTCATGATCGAGCTTTTGTTTTTGGTTCCTCCACAATTTCAAAGAAAAACCAGACATTTTGTAGATCAAGACCAATCCAACAAAAGCCCACCAATATTGTATTACCATGATGCAAAGCATCTGAGAATCATCCTTTGCACACTTCACCTGCACCCCTGATCCGAAATTTTTCTAATAAAAGAAAAACAAACAAAACATTTAGTTATTTTGTGCCATCTCTGATGAGTTTTGTTCTTTCCAGAATAGTAACATGGGTACAAATTATTTACAGAGTTTGTACAGAGATAGAAAAGCCATCACCCACATCTTCACAGACTGGAACACAAGTTTGAATTTTAATATACGTATTAGATACATGATCCTGGCACGGAATCATAGCAACAACTCAAATGGGAAAGAAGTTAAGCAATTGTGACAGGAACTTCCTTTACGAAATCTAACACAGTGCAATCTCCTCCATTTGATCATCAATTTAGTTTTTTTCTTATCCAATGTTTTAAAAAAAGACAGTCCAGACTGGCTCGTTAAACCTAATTAACACTTTCGTTTTTGTTTTTTTTTCCTTTGATGTGTTGGGAAAGAGGTTGATCATGATTCACACAAGTAGTCAGTATGCATATCATCTATGGTAACATTGGTATCTGAACTGTAACCATGACACATCCATGGTTCAATCTAAGCATCAAAGTTCTACCTTTTCACAAATCCTATTAGCTGAAATTGTAGACTTCGGAGTGCATGATACAGATTTGTCCTCCAGCAATGACAGGTGAAGATCCCTGGGGATGTTCTCATCTTGAACCAGGCATTGGTCCCTGGCTTCTACATTTTCTGTGACCCATTTATGACGCTTCTGAAACTCCTGACTATCTGAACATAGCACCTTCAGAGCACAGGTAATGTCATCACTTAACATCATTCCAAGTGCTGGTTCTTTGGTACATTCAAGGGATGCAATCTGCAATACACGGAGACTAATGAGAAGAAGTTGAAAAACGGGGACGTGTGAAAGCTTTTTCTTGTAACTATGTAGTTTTCTCCTCTTAATGCATCGAGACGGCTCAGGAACCTTACATATGATTGCTTAAAGTGACGTGTTATCATCTGAACGGGAAAATAAATAGCGAAATCAACTGATCAAGAATCCACTATTCAGTTAATATCCTTGCTACAAATGTAGAACTATAGCATCGTAACATAATGCTATAACTCATAGTTGATGCACAAATGTTTTGTGTTGCTTTACTTTTCCGGCATAACCTACAGATTTTGGTGGGCTGTTATAACATATGTGGAGTATTGAAGTACATTAGATTCATCGTTTTATAGCAGCTTAAAGTTTGGGAAAACCCAGTAATTCATTGTAAATCTTAAGGGGTAGAAAGAAGAATAGTGAAGTGTACAGAGATACTTAGACCCAAAAAAAAGAAGTGTACAAAGATACAGCTAGAAAATCCGTTGATTAAAGAGATTAATCCATTAAGCTATAACGAACATAAGAAGATACACACACCAATTTCTATCTCGTAGGGAATTAAGATTAACAAATTGACTTTACTCCAACTACAGGATATCCAAAAACCAAAAGAGAAAACAATTTCCTGAATTCAGTCTCGTGTCTTCCAAGTATTGCAATTCCTATCTTAATGTGAAATTATTTTACTCTTCACTCCAAAGTCAAACCGTATACAACTGAAAGATCATTTTAAGTGTGAAACTTGTTCTGGAAAGGAACACCATGTTGTACTTTAACACTAGTCTGTTCAGCCAAATTGATAAACCAAAACAAGGAGTTTTTAAAGACAAGCACTTGCTTTAAGCACCCTCCACTATAAGGTACAAGCTGCAAATCAAACAAACAAAAGGAAAAAAAAAAAATATGCTTAAAGATGCAAGTTTAAGAGCTATGAATACAACACCTGATCTGATTCGGAGAATAAGGAAGCTAAAGCAAGAAGCTGGTCCTTGCTGACATTGAAATGCTGCTGCAGGATCCGAGCTTTCCCTTCAGACATGTCTGGAGTCTTCTCTCTCATCCCCAAAGTACCATCATTGAAACCCACGAAAAACCAAATAATTGTAATAAAACCTAAAAGTCCGAGAAGTAGAAGCTTCCTTCTCCATTTTCTGACACAATTAGGCCCATGCAAAGGCTCCGTTGCCTTATTCAACTTGAAATTACCAGGTAAAATGCCATTAAAGCCGGAGACCCTGAAATTCAGATACATGATACCAAAGCACACCTATTTAACTTCACAAAGATCCTTGAAAGCTTGACAGAAACCTTCTTCCAGCTCCAGCAGGACAAGTCATGAAAACCAGACCACCAAGAGAACCACAGACTGAAATTCAAACAGATTTGCTGAAAACCCAGTATAATTTCACCAGAACCAGCTCATTAAACTCGTCAAGAACAATGCTTTATGGCAAACCTTTGACAGAGACTCAACAAAGATGTGAAATTGCATGGAACCCACTTCAGGTTTCTAAAGCCCAACTCTCCAATTAACCACCAAATCCAGAAAAGTTAAGTGGTCCAGCTCCATTTCTCTCTCCAGACCTCCTTTGGTTTTCCACTTTCAAGTTCAATACTAAGTTCATGTCTTTACATCTGTGAAGCATGTAAAACCCATCAAAACCACACCTTTTCTGGAGAACACTGAAGGGTACTACCAATCATGCCAAACAACAAGCTGAAAGAAGCCCCTATTATTATTTGGGCAACCTGTGAGGAAATCATTAAGGAGATAAGCGAAAGAATTGGCCTTTTCCTATATCAGGCTCTTTCTACCACCCACACTTCTGTGCAACCAAAAAGAAGCATCCTGAGTGATACATTTTCAAAGAAAAAGCCTGAACCCAAAAATAAAAAGAAAAGAAAAAAAGGATTGGACCGGAGTTGGTTTCTATAGAATTCCAACTGGAATCAATTATCAGAGTGAGAAAAAAAAATACATGTGCCCCTCTTCTTCTTTTCTTTTCTAACCCCACACTCTCTTATTCTCTCTCTTCAGTTTTGGTGTCCAGCATTTGATTTGAGGGGCACATCATTATCTCATCATCTAGTGGGGGAAGGTTAAGCAAAAGCAAACAAAACCCAATATCAAAATTACCCACAATACATAATAACCAGAGCTTTTCCAATTTTCTAATTTTTTTTAAGCTTGATTTATTAATTTTCCTTCATTTTTCTGTTCTGGGCCCCTTTTACTTTTGTAATAGTTGAAAGAGACTGCACCATTCAGTGTTTAAGATGGTGTATCTGCTCCCCTGCTGCAATGCAGGCATACGGACGTACAGGTGTGAGAGAGAGAGAGAGAGAGAGAGAGAAGAGTTATTCAGTAAATATAGGCAATGAAGAGGAGAGGTTTCCACCCAGACTTGAGTTTCTTTCTTCTTTCTTTGCTTCTTATTTTTTTCTTTTCCAGAGAGAAAATGACAGACAACAAAAATAAATTTTGAAATTTAGATCTCAACTAATGTTGGAGTATTGTTTATTTTACTATTGTTTTGTGTTACCACCCACATTATTTGCTGATAAAAAGATATGAAGAAAAATAAATAAATAAATAAATTTCTTTTTTTGTGTCTCTAGTATTTTACTACACATAAACAAAAAAATCGGCAATTACTCGGGAACTGAGTTAATGGGTACATGTGTCAAGATTCTTAATCTGCAGTTGTGTTTGGAAGATATATTTAATGATGGGGGCATCTATGAATATGTGTGTCGGCTATATACCTTACCCTCCAATGTAATATAATGGAATAAATTCATTATGAAAATGCACAAGCAATAGGACTAATTAAAACCAGTGTTTAAAGTAATCACTTAAATTAAAACCATGATTAGTTTGACCTTCATTTGGGAGTTTTTATATTCATGCTCAAGAATTAATAAGTCTCTACATAAATTTGGGACACAACTCAACCATACCAATCCATCAAACTCAAACATTGTACAAACTATTTCCCCAACTTCGTTTGTCCTTACATTGTACTACTTTTTATTTCAAGTGGGCATATGTTATTTGTCAAGCATTGACCTTTGCCCATTTTACCTTTCTTTTTTCACCTTTGTATTTTTTCTTCTTTTGGCTCCATTGTAAAAATTGTTACACTTTCCTAGGCTTAGTTTGATTGGAATAGAAATTGTTGTAGGCTCATCCATCTTTTTTATTATATAATATATATATAAACAAAATTTTGGATTTTGTAAATCACATGTTCTCTCATAATTAGTATATATGTGTTGATTGTAAAGGACTTATAGCTCAAGTGGTTAAGAGAATTTATCACTGCATTTGATGTCCTAGATTCAATTCTCCCCTCCTCAATATGTATAGTTATTCTCTTATCCATATGTCGTGCGGATGCCATTATAAACATAAAGGAAAGCATAAATAGGTAGAAGAAAATAGATGGCGTCCGCACGATAATAACATCTGGACGTCTACATAGGATATGTGTTTTATTGATTAAGTGATATATTTCGCATCATTGGGGATGATGGGATGAGCTAGGCAAAGGTAGATTTAAATTTAAATATCCTTGTAAAAAAATAAAATTAAGAAAGAAGAAGAGAGATGCTTGAAGCCACTTTGACATAATGGCATCAAGTGCTCCACCTGTTTTTATCTTCTCCACTTTTCTTTTTAACTTGTTAGTGATAGAAACTACAAAGTACATATCCAAGAAATGCCTCATTCTATGGGCCACATTAAGCAACAAGTTTTAAGGCTCAATAATTACATTATCCAGTTGTACTTTAGACCCACCACTATGTGTATTCTTCTTCCAATGAAGATTTACTTTGATGGCCATTCATTTTAATGATTTTTAACTCCTCATTTCTCACTTTTTTCCTAGGTAAGCTAAACTTATGAGAGAGATATATATATATATATATATATATATATTGGACTGTTTTTTAATCATATGACAACTGTTTTTTTATATCATACATTGCACAATGCATTAGCAAAAGAACAAAAAAAATGCATTATTATACAAATGGCATATTCTTGTATAGATTGTAACCTTTCTTACTTATTTATGTGGATTTTTGGACTTATCTTGCACCTTAAACAAGAGAGAAAGGGATAACTTCAGATACCAATACAACTTTTAGGTCTTGACAAAAAAAAAATACAACTTTTATGTAAGGCTGATAAGGGTAAAAATATATATATATATATATATCTCTCTCTTTATTCTGCCATATTTATAGATCACATACAAAATTTTGCTAAATTTGTGGTTAGGAAATCTTGTATGAAATCATTTTAGATATTTTTTATTTTCTTTTAAAAATTTGCTCATATTATTTCTAATTTTGAATTTCTTTTTAATATGGGTGCCTTTTAAAAAACAGAAAAAAAAATAATTTAATATGGGTATTTGCTTTCTCTGGTTGTGCAACCAAACATGGTCTTAGCGGCGTGCTAGGCGCCAAACTCCAAATCCTCGGCTCCGATTTAGAGCCCAGATCCTCGAGAGTCGTGACGAAACTAAGTGGGGGCCACGACAGCTGCTTCTGACAAATTAACGTTACCATCTTTTCCAACTTTTGCCGCACATTATAAAAACCCACAAGAAAAAACCCGGGAAAGAATCTGAGGTCGACACGTCAACAACGTGGGGTCGGCGGGTCCCACTGAACGTTTCTGTTCGGTTATAACTTAAAACCGTATATGTGGCCAAGGCTTACCCGACAGACAAACCCCATTTACTACCCGACAAATCTTCAACACGTTCGGTTTTTTCCCCCTCTGTTTGAAATTACCAGACCGGCCTCCCTCGTCTCTACTTATTTTGGGGAGACAAAATCTCGTGACTGTTGTTTTCGCGTAAACATGATGGGCAATTTCGTAACTTGGGTTATGAGTATTAGAGTGTCCAAAGCCATGTGTCTGTTGCGCTAAAAACAAATCAGAATAGAAGATGATGTTGACTTTGAGTTTAAAATACTTTTTGTCTATTTAAAAATATTGAGGCAAGTTCACGCTTTAGTTATGTATTATTATTTTTTAAATGAAAAATACTTTCCTCCTTAGAATGAGCTTGTACATTTCTATCAATATGAGTCTGATATGTGTGTAAAAGTTTTTCTTTTTGTTTTTTGATGAATTATTTTTGTATATGTCTCAAACTGTGATTTGCAGAAAGAATGAATATCTCCTTACAGGGAAGGAGGTAAGCGGTATTCTTTTTTCAAAATTATAGTTATTTTGGCTACGTTGTATGAATAGGTAAGAAATCGAATGAGAGAGATAAACATCTAGTTGTATATCACCGCCGATAATAGGTAAGAAAATTGTTTGCTTGGGTTAAGTTGAGCTTGTCGTTCGAGCTCATCGATGAATTATGGTAACATGAGCTCACAGAGTTATTTCAAAAGTAAGTTTCGAGTTGAATATGAATTGGAAATTCGAGTTGAGTATGTTGAGTTTATCTTTTAATACGGTTAATTTGTCGTATGCCTTTGGTGTTTCTATATTCTCATAGTGGATTTTGTGGAATAGGTGTTCTAGAGTTTAAAATGATTGAACTTCTTGAGTGTGTATGTGTATAGCATGAATAAATGTGTGCACTTTTTATCTCATGTCCCACTATTGATAATTTGATAGCAATGGCAATGTCACTTGGGGAAAGCCACATCCCCATGCTTTGCCTTTGGCCAAAAGGAAGCCAAGAGAAGAAGGTAGGTAACACACTTTTTCAAGCATCTCCCTACTTCACCAATAATGGAACCAAACCCAAAAAAAACAGTCAATAATTTATGAGAAGGGGAAGCTCCACAAGTTTCTTCTTGCTGAGATGGGATGATGCTTAATTAGTTCGGTGTCAGCAGAGAATAATTTTTTTTAGCAATATCCAATTAATGATGCAAATTTGAAAAAAAGAAAAAGAAAAAAAAAAGAACTTATATTTTTCTTAGAAAGGTATTTTTGTAGGTCGATCTACTTTTGTGTGGCATGTGATGGCATATGCATGGTGGGGTAGATTACCCACACACACACAAAAAAAAAAAAAAGTTTTGCAGTAGCATGAATGTTAATCATGATCCATAATACAAAATTAGGTTATCTTTAAAATTATTTAGACTTTAAGCTAAAAAGATGTCTGAAAGCACTAAAAACAGTATCCACTTTAAATTAAGTCCAGAAAAATCATAGCCGTTGCTTTCTTTGTAGATAGTATAGATAGTAGATGGTATAGGTATAGCCGCACTTTAACGACCACCAAAATATTTATTCAAAGCCCTCCTCTCTTCTCCAACCTCCATGTTTGCTTCAAAAGGTGTGGAATTAATTTAGGTGACCAACAGCTACCAGGGAACA